CGTTCACGCTGTTCAGAAGCTCGTGCCAAAGATATAACTAACCTGATTATGAACATGATAATCCTCGATATGCGACCATTACGTTTAGTTGAAGGCACTGGATTTGTACAGTTAATGAGCTTTGTTGAACCTTCATACAAAGTACCAAGTGCCATGCACATGTCTAAGTTAATTCACCAGAAGCATAGAGAGTCACAAAGAAAGCTCAAGGATCTATTGAAGAAAGATATGTCAAGTATTTCATTAACCACTGACATTTGGACCAGTGGTTCCAATGAAGCATACATAACTGTATCTGGTCATTTTATCTCTCAAGCTTGGCAATTAGTAGCAATTGTACTAACAACCAGTGCCTTCCCAGAACGCCACACAGGATTGGAGATATCTCGAAAGCTTGTTGAAATTGTGAAGCAGTTTGGAATTGAAGAGAAAGTTGTCTGTGTTGTGCATGACCAAGCTTCTAATATGATACTATCTATGGATATTCTGTTGGAGGATAAGGAGTGGAGTAGTCTTAGATGTGGAGCTCATTGTTTGCAACTATGTATTAATTCAGGGTTGACATCTGTGTCTGCTATTGATCGTACTGTAGCAGCTGCTAAGAAACTCGTTGGACATTTTCGTCACAGTGTAGTGGCCTCCGAGGCACTTAAGGAAAGGCAACAACAAATGGGAATAGAGCAAAAAAGGTTAATTCAATCCTGTGTTACTAGATGGAGTTCGTGTTACGAGATGTTGTTTAGGTTACTAGAAATGAGATTGCCAGTATTAGCAGTACTTTCTGACGAAAGTGTAACAAAGAGGAATGATCGCTATCTTGACTTAAAGAGTGAGCAGTGGACTATCGTGGAGGAACTAGTAACTGTCCTTAAGCCCTTACAAGTTGCAACGACTTTCTTACAGTACGAACATAACTCGTCTGTATCGTGTATCTTACCTGTTATCAATGGTTTAGATCTGTCTTTGCAACCATCAAGTGATGACTCACCTACAATAAAGCAATTCAAAGACAAGGTTCGTGGAGAAATTAGATCTAGATGGTATCTAAACAACTTGAATATCACTAGTTTAGATGTTTTAGCATCTGCAGTTGACCCAAGATTCAAGCAATTGAAATTCCTTAATGATGAACAGAAGTCAGGTGTCAAGGAAGAAATAATACGTAGAATGGCCGATCTTTCACCACTTCATCAAAACCCAGATGTATCAAATGTTGTGAGTCAACCATCTGCACTAGACATATTGTTAGGACCAGATGAAGTTATCACTGAGTTTTCTACATTTCAAGAAGAGGTGGATGCTTACTTTTGTGAGAAGGCTATTTCCAGAGATGTGAACCCTCTAGTTTGGTGGAAAGATAACCAATTGCGTTTTCCAAATCTGGCAAAAGTTGCTAGATCGCTTCTAAGTATTCCAGCTACCTCAGCTCCAGCTGAAAGAATATTCTCTGCTGCTGGACTAACAGTCACTAAGTTAAGATCTTCACTAAATCCTGACACTGTTGATGCTCTTATTTTTTTAAATAAGAATCACTATGTACTTGATTAAAACTAATAATTTTGATATTAAAAACTGATAAAACCATAAATTTAATTAACCACACCCATTATTAATTAATGGCCCCACCCCATTAATTAACTAGCTCCGCCCAAAACGAAGGCAGTACCTTCTTTTGTATAAGTGTTGAACCTTCGAATGCATTAAATTAACCTTCGTTTATGCCCTGACATGTACATGTATCTGTTACTATTAATAGATCAGAATTATGTGTACAGTACATGTTAGCAATGCTACTAATAATAATCAATATTACATGTACATGTTACTATTAATAGATTAATGATACATGTTACTATTAATAAATTGATATTATCTTACTTTTAAAATACATCAGAATTTTAATTACATGTACATGCATGTGTTACTATTAATAGATCAGAAACACAAGTCACTAATAATAGCTCAATGCAAATTAATGTAATGTAAATTAATTAATGTAGGTGGCAATGATGTGTTACTATTACCCAATTATTTAAATGTATATGTACATGTTAATGTGATGCTATTAATAGGCATACCATTACATCATCATTTGTTACTATAAATAGGATACATGCTGGATCATTAATATCAGGTTCCTTGCTCATGTAGTAAGGATGAATACTCAATAG